AGTCAGTTGGCCAGGTAGCTGTCTTCCAAATTTCTTGGCATAGCTGAGTGATTGACCCAGCACAGCATCCATTTGTTGAAACATCTCAATGGTTATTCCATCAATTCCTGGAACCTTGTTTTTTGTGAATTCTTAGTGCAGCTTTGACTTCTTCCTTCAGTACCATTGGTTCTTGATCAAACTGAGTGATGCAGGAAGCATCAAAAGACATTGGAAGGAAGGTCATCGTACCAAAAACAATTAGTTGACATTCATTCATTTCAGGAGATAGCATATGAGCAAGAACCAGTGGTATTAAAGGAAGGAATCCAAACTACACTGAAGGAATTGGCCAAAAAACAAACAAAAACCCCTCCAGGAATTGACTGAATACCCATTGATGTGTTTCAACAAAGGGATACAGCCTTGGAGTTGCTTACTAGTTTGTTCCAAGAAATTTGGAAGAAAGCTACCTGGCCAACCAACTGCAAGAGTTCAATATCTGTGCCCATTCTGAAGGATGGTGATCCAACAGAATGTGGAATTTATTAAACAGTATCATTATTATCAAATGCAAGTAAAATTTTGCTGGTGATAATTAAAAAACAGTTGCAGTAATATTTTGACAGGGAACTGCCAGAAATTCAAGCTGGATTCAGAAGAGGACGTGGACCAAGGGATAACATTGTTGACGCCAGATGGATCATTGTTGAAACCAAACAATACCAGAGAGATGTTTATCTATGTTTTATTGACTATGCAAAGGCATTCAACTGTGTGGATCTTAACAAATTATGGATAACATTGCAAGGAATGGGAATTCCATAACATTTAATTGTGCTCATGAGACATCTGTACATAGACCAAGAGGCTGTAGTTCAAACAGAACAAGGGGATACTGAATGGTTTAAAATCAGGAAGGGTGTGCATCAAGGTTGTGTCCTTTCACCATACTTAATTCAATCTGTATCCTGAGCAAATAATCTAAGAAGCTGGACTATATGATGAGGAATGTGACATTAGAATTGGAGTAAGAACCATTAACAACCTGCCATTTGCAGATGATACAACCTTGTTTGCTGAAAGTGAAAATTACTTGAAGCACCTACTGACAAAGATCAAAGACTACAGTTTTCAGTATAGATTACACCTCAACATAAAGAAAACAAAAATCCTCTCAAGTGGACCAAGAAGTAACATGGAATGGAGAAAAGACTGAAGTAGTTAGGAATTTTATTTCACTTGGACCCACAATCAATACCAACAGAAACAGTAGTCAAGAAATCAAACGTCGTATTGCACTAGGCAAATCCGCTGCAACGGACCTCTTTGAAGTGTTAAGGAACAAAAATGTCATTTTGAAGGCTAAGGAGCACTTGAACCAAGCCATGGTATTTTTAAATTCTTAATTTCCACATAAAAGCTGGACAGTTAATAAGGAAGACCAAAGAAGAGTTGATGCCTTTGAATTGCTGTGTTGGCAAAGAATACTTAAAATACCATGGACTGATGGAAGAAAGAATTAATCCGTTCCAGAAGAAGTGTAGCTGAAATGCTCCTTAGAAGCGAGAATGGTCAGGCTACCATTTTATCTAGTTTGGTCATGTTGTCAGAAGGGGTCATCCCCTGGAGATGGATATTATTATATTTGTAAAGTAAAGGGCAAGAAGCTCTGGTGGTGTAGTGGTTAAGGCATTTGACTGTTAACTGAAAGGCTGGTGGTTTGAACCCACCAGCCACTCTCCAGGAGAAAAATGAAGCAGTGTGCTTCCCTCAAGATCTATTGACTTAGAAACCCAATGAGGGTCACTGAGCTGGAATCCACCTGGTGGCAATGAGGTTTTTTTTTTTTTTTT